CCTCCTTCCCTCCCTCCCAATTCCCTAGGGCATTGCTTGCCCCAAAAAACCAGTCAGATGATGAGATGGTCACTTGCCTAGGACATTTCCTTTAGTTCTATAACCCCTCTCACAGGCTCTGGGATGTGGCCCAATGCATCTTTGGCCTGACAAGCTCCCAGCCCAGTCACTGCCCTTTACCTCCTTCCACAGTAGCCCAGTGAGAGCCTCCCATTCTTTACAGAGGGCTCAGAAAGCTCTGTTTCTTATCTGGTCCCAATTCTTCCTGCTGCAGGCTCCCAAATGGCATCTCTCAGGGAGAACCGAGACAACTACTCTCGTCATTCAAGTGTGCTCACCTCCCAGGTCTGTAGGAAGGGAGCACATGTTTCCCTTGGCTCAGGGCCTAGCCTTCTGTCTTGGCTCCTGCTCCCAGTCCCCCATTGTGTGACCTCTCCTCTGTTGCAAACCAGTGCCCTGTCATCCCCTGGCTAACTGTAACGGCTAGACCAGCCACTGCTGGAATACAGAAAGGACAAGGGCCCATGGGTAGAGCCAAGATGAATGGAGGAGCAAAGAGGTACGATCTCAGGACCCAGAAACCAGGTCCTCCTCCATAGGAATTGACAAGGCCACTGTGACCCTGAGAAGACCCAAGGTGAATCAACACCAGGAAGTCACATGTGAGGAGGGGTGGGTGCCTGAGGCCTAGACTGTGTGGCCCCAGAGGTGCTAGCACCTGGGGGGAGACACTGCATTTTATAATGGCACGACTGCCCACTAGGTCTCAAGGAAAACCTGTGGCCTGCCTACACTGATCTCCATGTTCACTCCCAGGAGTCCCCTTTGCTCACAGCTGGGACCAGGAAGCTGCCATAAGCACAGCTCAGGGCTGGTTCTTCTATGGCCAGTGGATTCTCAGGATGCAGGGGCATCTCCCAGGGCATTCCACCCAGCTTCAGAGGTCAGCCAGACCCTGCTCCCCCTGGAAGAGGAGATGCCTCTGCAGTTCTCTGCAAGACTGCAAAGCCTCTGCTATCTGGAAGTCCTTCCTCATGTCTCACTAAATTTTTTGCATCCCACATCAAATGTTTCCTCACCCACATAATCCCAAAGACAGGCAGAGGGTTCAATTTCCTCATTCTGTCTAGCAGAGGCCCACAGGATACCCAGTGACCAGATCTTTCCTCCTGGCTTTCCACATCTCTTCCTCTTATCCGCATGAGTCAGACATTAGGAACAAAGTGGCACCTGGCTTTGCTCAGACTAGTCACATTTCTGCCTCTGAATCCTGGAACCTGCTCTTCTCCCACCCTAGGATGCCTTCCCCTCTTCCCTCTGCCCCCATCTCCTCTGGGAAGCCCTCCCGGCCTGATTCTTCCACAGCCACACATACTAACTCCTGACATCTCTTAGTCACTCAATTCTTCCTTCCAGGTATAAAGATCCAACCATATGTTAATTACACTATTACTTATAACTTTCATATCTATTTTCACAAGGCAGACTGGCAGTCACAGGGTAGTCCCTCACCTGTAGTTAGGTAAAGCACGTGAAAAGTCTCTCCATGGCTGGCGTGCATGCGGTGGACAACTATTTTCTGGTAGTGGTACTTAGAGTGAAAGAGTGGCGTCTTCAGAGGCCCAATGGGCTCCACTCTCTGTGCCACCTCAGGGTGACTGTCGGCCACCTGGAAGGTCTCTGTGGGTATTGGCTTCCGGTCTGGAAGGCACTGGGCAAGAAGAGGAGGTCCAGGTCATTGAGTGGCTGGGAAGTGGGGTAGGGGCCTGGGTCATGGTGGATGTCACTGCTCACCTTGCCAGGCCGAGGGGTGGGAAGGCCTGTGTGGTAGCCCTTGAGTGAGGAAGTGCGGAAGACCTTGTCAATGTCACCAAGGGAATATACACAGACAGCTGAGTAGTTCCTGGGGGGACAGAGACCACCTCAGTGGGGGGGCCCAGTACTCACCCACCTCCATTCACCCAGGCTAGCCCAGCGCCATACAAGGCACAACCACAGCCTTTTAACCAAGCTCTCCAGCCTGTAAGCTCCATGAAGACCAGGACTATCCTGGAGGTAAAGCCTGTGCCTAAGAGTTGTCAAACACCACTGAAGGCAGGAGGGAGGAAGGAAGTTTGACCTGCTGCAATCTAAAACCATAACCTGTCATGGGATCGCAGGGTTCAGAGGCCAGCCCCAGGGCAGAAGGATCCCCTATGTGTATCCTTGTTGGGCAATTCTCCCACCTCTCTGGGCACAGCTGCAGGATGCTGATGCCTAAGGAGGCCAGACTCCATCCCCTCCCCAGCCCAGCTGGGTCCACCCACTTGGGAACCACAGTGCAGGGTCTTGGCTTCCCTACTCTGTCCCCTCCAACCCTCCCACATCCAACACCTTTGCCTGCCTTGTTTTCAATCAATGAGAGTGATTAAGAGGTGTGAATTATCAGATGCAGGCAGTACCTGAATGGGTGTGATAGCACCCAGCACTCCATGAGGCCTCAGCAGCCTTTTCCTAGGGGCCAGCACCCACCCTGAGCACACAGCTGGTGGACACACAGGCACTGCCATGAGTGTGTGTACAGTACATGCGTGCACACCAGTGTGTATGACTCAGAAACATACCAGCACAAACATCTCCCCAAGCACTAACTGTGTCTCACTCCAGCCCCAGCAACAGCCCTGTCCCTTGAGCCTAGAGTCCCTGCTCATGCCACATCAACCATCCCTTCAGCAAGGCCCAAGCCCTCCAATCCCTACTGGACACGTAACTAATGACAGTCTCAGGTCCAGGACAAGGGTAACTCACCAGGGGTTGGAGAAAACGCCATAGACCCTAGTGTCCCTCCACTGGCCATTAGGGTCCGGAAGCAGGAAGACGTCCTGTAGCCTGTTGAAGTTCTTGTTGGTGGTGGGATCACTGCACACCAGCATGGCTTTCAAGAAGGTGTTCCACTTGGAGACTGACAGCGAACTCTCACCACCCTGGTCCCCCTGAAAGGGTGTAGGGGAAAGGAGGCCCCTCAGGACTTGCTAGGCACCTGCTGCCAGGAATGTCAGCACCCAGGCTTCAGAGGAGGAAGGTAGGCTCTGAAAGGGGCAGAGATCTGCCAGGGCACTAGGCAGGGGTGCCCCATGACTTAAGCCAGGTTCCTGGGTCAGGCTCCAGCCAGAGGCCTGACTGACCAAGGCCAGCAGTGGGGACCTACAGAGTGAGGGTGATGAGTCTGTCCCCACAGAGCAGATGGACTCAGACACACATTTGCTCATTCTCACATATACAGTCACATATCCCAGCACTTTCATGTGAAACATGAAACACACCCATGTAAACACACTTTCATACTCACACACACTCATACACACTCTCAGACAACTACACACACTTGCACACTGTCGCACATGCACATGAGCTCAACCATCTTTACCCACTCACAGATGCATGGACACTCTTGTGCATACACGTTATTCCCACAATCCCACACACAGACTCACTCACACATTTCACACACTCCTTCAGACAAACAGGCATGCACATTTGCACACAGGTGCTCACACACACACTCTTGCCCACTCAGCCTCCCACTCACCCTGCACAGCTGCGCCACACGGGATACATTGAGAGGGGCCTCAGGATTCTTGTCAGGGTTGTCCTCCCGGAAGAAGTAGTAGATTTTGTCATCATAGGCCTGGTCTTGGTGCACAATAGTGGCCTTAATGAACTGTGGATCTATCAGGGACACATGTGAATTGGTGTCAGAGGGGAGGCCACTCAGGGGACCCATTCCGACTGTGCATACCCCTCAAGTCTGCACAAGCAAACCTGGAGCAACTCAGACCTGGAATAAAACTAAGAACATCAGGCCCAACACCCCAAGGGGCCTGAGACTCTGCACCCCCATCCCACATGTTTTGCTCTCCCCCTACAAAGATGTCATCAGCCCAGGAACAATGACTTCATGGCTAGGGACCAGGAAGTTCCCCAGGCCTTTATGTCACTTCTGCCTAATTGGCAGAGACCTAATGAGGAGGCAAGGGGTGTTGCCCCCACATGAGTTCAGCAGAGGGACATACTAGGACTACACCAGGGACCCCACTCTGGGTCTGGGGCTTCCTCTATTTTGTTACCAGAGTGTGGAGAGCCCATCCTGCCTGTGTACCTTTGCCTCTGCTGTTCCTCTGCTCCCTGCCAACATCCTCGGCTCTGGCTGCTCAGACCTGTCCCAAGCTCCCATTTTCCTGACTCACCTGTGGCCCCAGCAGCCCTTGGGGAGCCCTCCCAGGGAACATGAGGATCCCATCTGCCACCCTGGGCATTAATACCCTGGTCCACCCCAGCCCCGCGGGAGCCTGACTCACTCTGCATGACGGTGTCACTGGTGTACAGTTCAATCTCACCCTGGATGCGGCGGAACCGAGGGATCTTCCCATTGTATTCCTGCTTCCGGATTGTAGAGTATACCTCATCCCCTGGGCACAGTGGAAGGGGCATGGGTAAGGGCAAAGAGCTCCTGGAAGTCCCTCCCTGGGGCCTGGGCCACCAGACACTGAGCTGATCACCCTCCCCCAGCCTAGGGCAGCAGCCCTCTGGGGACCCTTGTGCTCCAGCCACAGCCCTACCGTCAAACAGAACCAGGGAGTTCTCATCCGGGCTGAAGGGGGCATAACCTCTCCTCTCACCAAGTGACTCCACAGTGCCATTCACCTGGGGGAGACCAATGGGGTCAGACAGCCACGTAATCCCATGACTACTGCTTCCCGTGGGTGCCAGCTTCCCAGACAGGGTCCCCATCCTCCCAAGCATTCTATACAAGGTGAGACCAGCCTCGGAGTCCCGTGACCTCCTTCCCACCTTGGGAGGCAGAAGCCCACTCAAGCAAGGGTGATCTGACCAGGCATATGGGTAGGGGTCTTCTCACCAGGCTCCAGCAGCTGGGGTGCCGGGCATTGGTGCCGCAGGCCAGCAACGCCCCACCCTGTCTCTCCAGAAGTGTTATGTAGTTCTCACAGTCCTGCCCAGAAGAAGGGGAAGAAGAGAGGTTGGTCGGAGGCCCTGGCAGGCCTCAAACCAGAACCCTTAGTCTTGGGAAAGACAGTATCAAAAGGCTGAGCATGGAGGCAGCTTCCAAGGAGAGCCTAAAAGGGTGCAGGTGATTCCAACCCCTCCAAGAACAAAGGAAGAACACAGGGACCTCAGAGAAGAACTGTCTCCCACTCAGACTGGGGACCTTAAGGCAGAGCTGCCTCTTTCCTCCAACTGGGGCTCCCAAGGCAGGGCCATGCCTTCTTCCTCAGTCTCCCAGGGACTTCCCATCCCTTTTCCAAGGGGCCCAGCCTCCCCTCTACACTCCCTCTCCTCCACTTACCTGCTTGCCCAGGCAGGATCCCTTCGTGGAGCCAATGTTCACCTGGGAGGAGGGGGCACAGGTAGCATTAGTCCACCCTGTCAGGAGTCAGATGCCCTGCAAGTGCTGTCCATATGCCCCCAAGACAAGCTTGTTTTATATCATAGGTGAGCAACTAGGGCTCTGAGAGGGCGAGTGATTCACCAAGATCACACAGGGTGCTTGGCCTGATACCCAGAGGGTATTAGCCCAGGGGTCAGGTGCTAGCCCAGAGATCTCAGAAGCCAGGCGCCATGGGGTTCTGGAGCTCAGCTTCCAGCCCAGGCCTACCCCATCAGTGTAGCCCACCTGGCCAGGTGGGTAAGCTCCAGGCTTTTCTCCTACCTTCACGGAGCCTCCCCCAGGGACCATTTATGGGATATAATGGGAGGTGGACCAGTTTAGGAAGAGATGCCAGCTCCCTCTCCCAAATTCCCTGAGGCCCCTTACCAAGGCGAGAAGGGAGATAAAGGGAGAAATGGGGGAAAGGTGCATTGAGGGCCCCAGGCTCACCGTGTGCACAGAGGCATTCTTGCCCTCGGGGAAGTTCAAGAGGTAGACCTTGCCACGTCCACCGACCCATACAGAATCGCTGCCTGGCTCATGGAAAAGCACAGTGTGCGGCTCTACCGAGTCAAAATCCACCCGGTCCTTCCCCGTGTGGCCTGAGGAGGAGGCAATTAGCAGAAACTTGAAGCAGGGCTGTGGGCAGGGAGATCCTGTCCTTCCTCTCAGGCACACTGGCACCCTCCTGGCAACTAGAGCTTAGGTCTGGGCTGGGGCAGTGCCAGGACTCAGAGCCACGAGTGGGAGAAGTGAGGGGTACCCTGGTGGGGTCTAGCAAACAGCTGTCCTCACCCCAAAGCCATGGCCCCTACCCTACAATATGTGACCTCAGGGTAGGAGCAGGATTTAGGGACCCCTAGGAATAACAATCTCCCCCCTCCCCCTCCACACTTGGCTATTCCTAAGAGGCTGGGCTCAGGCAAGAGAGACCAGGACCTCCAGGCTATTTGAGGCTCTCTGCAGCCCAGAACAGAGCAAGCAGCCATCTCTGTCCCCTGCAGGTAGCAGTGCTCTAAGCATCCCACTTAGAGACCAGGTTCCCAGGAATCACTTTTTTTCAGTACCCCATCCCCTCTTTTGGGAAGCCCTCTCCAATTCCTCCTGGCCCACCTCAGCCCCTCAGTGAGTAGGTCAGCTTAGATCAGAGCTGGAAAGGAATCTAAATATCCATTCCCTCCCATTTCACAGAGGGAAATTCAGAGGCCCAGAGAGGATGCAGCACAAGGGTATAAAGTCAGGAGCAGGCCCTGAACAAGAGCCCAAGCTCCTGCCCGCAGCTGGACTCTGGCCTGGCCCACTCTGGCCTGGTTTCATGGAGGTGCCAGCTAGCCCCAGGAGTAAAGGTCCATCCTCCCTTGCCAGCAACTCTGGGACAAGGGGTCCTTCACAGAGCACAGCCTGGGCCTTTATTTTTATTTTAATAAAATAAAATAAAATAATAAAATAAAATAAAATAAATAAAATAAATAAATATATATACACACACACACACACACACACACATATATATTTTAATATATCTTTATTGATTTCAGAAAGAGGAAAGGAGAGGGAGAGAGAGAGATAGAAACATCAATGATAAGAGTCATTGACCGGCTGCCTCCTACACGCCCCCGACTGGGGATCGAGCCTGAAACCCGAGCATGTGCCCTGACCGGGAATCGAACCCCAATCGTCTGGATCCTAGGTCTATGCTCAACCTCTGAGCCAAGCCTGGCCAGGCTATTTTTTAAAATATATTTTTATTGATTTCAGAGAGAGGGAGAGGGAGAGAGAAACATCAATGATGAGAGTCACTGATGGGATGCCTCCTGCTGGGGATCGAGCCTGCAACCTGGGCATGCGCCCTGACCGGGAGTCGAACGGTGATCTCCTGGATCATAGGTCAATGCTCAACCTCTGAGCCACGCCAGCTGGGCACAGCCTGGGCCTTTAAACAAAAGGGCTGACCCAAGCAATTTTGCCCAAAAAGGAAACTGTCTGCAGACACTGCCTCCAGGGAGATGTCTCATCTCCGGTGACATTGCTGAGGTTGTCGTGGTTGCAGAACTAAAATTCCAGGGATAGGACAGCTCACATCCTCCCACCTCTGACTAGCCTAAGGCCTCACCCAGGAACTCATCCTGACCACTGTTTATTGAGCTACAGCAAACTCAGGGGCAGCCAGCTTAGCAGTGACACCCAAGGAGGACACACTCCAGCCCAGGCATAAAAGAACTGCCATTTCCAAAATCTGCCCCAAACCCCTCTTGCTGCCATTTGTGCCACTCCTACTGACTCCGCGTTCAACTGGGCAAGGAACGCAACACACGGTGTGTGCAACCCACACCTTCACTCCCTTTCCTTAAGATACATCCCTATATGGCCAAGTCACTTCACCTCAGCCATTACCTGGCTCACTGCAGAGGTAGAAACTGAGGGCTCCTTGGGGACATGCCAGCCCAAGGTTACACTAGGAGGCTGGACAGACTGGCTAGTCCATTACTGAGTATTGGTTCTCAGGAGCTTTTAGGGAAATGCCAGCACTGTGGGCCACAGAGGACTGCTAAGTTCACTGCCTCTGGTTCACCTGGCTTTCCTTGGGCACTCCACACAACCCAAGCAGACTCCCTGCATCCAGAGGCTCACTCCCCATCAGTCCCAGCTATGCAGGGCCTCCTTTCCAACTGGGGTAAAATTAGAGTGCTAGGGTCAACAGCTGGAAGAAACAAGGCCTTCCTCACGCAGCTCCCACAGCTCCCCTTACACCTGCAGCCTGAGCAGCAGCCACCATCCCACAGCCCAAAGCCCAGCCTGGGATCCAGATAGTCAGTAGCCCCAGCTTCCCTCCCACACTCCCAGCCAGCCAGGGGCCAGGAAAAGCTATGAGGCTGCATCTGGTAATGTTAGGCTGGGAAAGAAGCTCTGAACCCCACCCCCAGAGGCTAAAGGGGAGGATCCCCAACCCTCAGACCACGCTGGCCATCTCTACCAGTCACCTAAACCTGCACCAGCAACCAGGCCACAACCAAGGCACAGCTGGGGGCCCTGGAAAGAAGCACCAGAGGGGGCCCTGATGGAGCCTTTGTCTGGGAGTCAAAGTCCTTGCCCTTCGAAGTCTAGTCTTATGGAAGAGGCAGCAGCCTGGCCCCGGGGAGCAAGGTCTGAGAGGAAACTGGCCCTACTCTGGAATTCAGTTGAGGGGTGAGTCAGCCACATCAAAGTAAGCTTCCACAATGCTCACGGAAAACTGTCTAGGTGCAGCTCCCAGGGCTGCTCACAAAGAATTTCTGAGGACAGAGGGCGGGTAAGGGCTGCTGCAGCTCAGTGTGGGGGGACTGCAGCATCAGGGCCAGGACAGTCCTGCACAGAACTGCAAGCCTGAGCCCTGTTCCCCACAAATCCCGGCTGCAGCCCCTGCAGTACGGGAGAGGCAGGGACTGCTGGCCCCATTTTGCAGAAGAACAAACAGGAACCCAGGAGCATTGCCTCCCTTGACCCCCAGGCTCCCGCCCCTCACTGCTCTGCTCCTGGTGATATGTATGGAGGGGATGGCACCAGTCTGGCCCCAGGACCTGAATTTGGCCCATTCTCCACCCTAGCCCCAGCCCTGCTCCTGCACAGCCCAAAGCCCTCAAAGAGCCTGATTGTGCCGGGGAAGTGTCTGAGCTGCAACAGCCCGATGAATACATGAAAGGAAGCTTTGTTCAGGTTGGCAGGAGCGGGGCCTGGGGACTCAGGGGCAGGAGGGCTGCCTGGAAGTAAAGGCAGCACCAAGCCTTTGGGGCCAGGATCCGTGGCCCTATGGCACCAACAAGGGCCAAGGAGGGGTCGGCCTTCAAGACTCTGCCCATGCAGAGCAAGGCCAAGGGCTGCCCCTAAAAAGACCCAGTCAAGGGATCAATTGTCACATCCCTAACGTGTCTTTTTGCTTCCTTATGAATTCAAAGAGATGGGGAAGGCAGATTAAAGCTAGAGGGGTCAGGAACAGGCAGAAAGAGAATTTCAGGCAGGGGAAACAGCCAAGCAAAGTGGAGAAGCTGGCTGTATGGTGGGTACAGAGAACTGAACAGAGAAGATCAGGAAGGTAGGCTAAGGACCTGGGCGATGGAGCAGGGGAGGTGTTGCGGCTGACCCAAGAATACACATCCCTACTGCCCATCAGTCTCCAGGCTTCCCTTTCTCCCTAAGAACAGGGCCAGTGTCCTGAAAGCCAGCCCTCCTCTAGCCTAGCGCCCGCTAGTACCCTCCACCTCTTCTGCCTGCCCAGACCCCTCTGCTTCTCATCTGGATATCTAAAAGGAGCTCTGTCTGGCACCGTGTCTCCCCCCACACTCTCTAGCCTGATGCATTAGTGGCTGACTAAGTGGTAGCTAAAAGCTCCCAGAATAACCAGTAGCTCAGGCAGGGGAGGGGGCTAGGGAAACACAGGATGGGCATGGCCCCAGATGCGGCTTGGTACAAGGCCCCTCCCCCACCCCATGTGATTCCAATCCTTACTCCTTCTGGACCAAGGAAGAGCACACTCAGGCTGCCCTGTACCCAGCAGGATTCCATGGCCCTTCTAAGTCCCCACCCACCTCACAGTCAGGACTGGCAAGGCCCAGGCCCAGCCCAAACCAGGACTAGGGTCAAGAAGATGGCTAGGTGTGGGACGCAGTCTCCCTCAGTCACAGCCCCCCAAGTGGGGTTGTCCCTAAAGTTCTGATCCTGTTGGAACCAATGAGAGCTGACTCTTCTCATGCTCCTCACCCTCCCACCACTGTCCCAGCAGCCAGTTGGCCGGGTAAGTCTGGACTTCTGTAGGGTGGGTTCTCCTAAAGCAGCCCTGCGGGTGGAACACCATTCCTTCTCTCATACTCTCTGGGTCCTGTCACCACGCGGTCCACGCTGTCCCCATATCTTCATTGCTTGTGAAAGAGGGCAGCCCAAGGGGAGGGTGAAGTAGGAGCTGGAATGGGGAGGGGGTGGTGTTGTCCCTAAAAGGAGCAACAAGGGACAGGCCCCGAGGTCTGGTCTGAGCAGGGAGTCTTTAAACCTGACCCACTGACCCAACAGGTCTTGAATGCTAAGAACCCCTTTGAAAGTGGGTATTGAGGTTGGCTCTGAGAATGGCAGGAATTTAGATACTCAGCAGAAGCCGAGCCAACCTCCAGCTGGGAACCCAGCCACATCTGGCAGGAACTGCACCCCACCCTCACCCACCTCTCACTCTTGCCTCCCCCACAGCTGGCAGAGAGAAGAGGGAAGGCCCATGTGGAGCCTATGAATTAGCCTACAGCCTCTCTACCCTTTGGAACCCACACCTCACAGGTCAAGGTGGAAGGGAGGAGATCTGAACAGTCATTGAGCTGAGGGGCATAAAGGCAAGAGAGGCTCTGTCGTTGGCCCAAGGAACACAGCAAGAGAGGCAGGGACAGGCCACAGCCCAGGGTTTCTGGTACCCAGCACTGAGACCACACCTGGACTTTCTTGAGAGCCTCTGGATTTGTGAAAAGCTGTATATCTTCTCTCCACTTCCCTGTGTCATCTCCTACTCTCCACCCTCTCCCTCGCCACCAGGCGATAAGGCACTAACCTGATAACTGACAGGAATCACCCACAGACCTACCTTCAGGTG